GATGATCTAGCTGTGAAATATTAGACTTTGTTGAGCTGGATGGTGGAGACTCCTCCTCAATTAGCTCTTCAGCCTAGGCTGGGCTCTTTCCTCCAGTAAATGGCAAGTTGCTGGGTCAGGGATGCTTCTCCGTCCTTTAACCCATGGGCCTTTCTCATGCCCAAGTATATGGTACGGTCCCCTACAGTGGTGACTGCCAGTCTGGATCAGGTGGCAAAATGGGGAGCCATGACACTCTGTGAAGTATGATATAAAATATTGATATATTTAACTCCACTTAGAAAGCCATGCTGGGGGAAAATATGACTTTATTATTATATGTATGCAATGTAAAATGACAACCAAGAGAATATATGGAAAACAAGCTGTCATGTCAAACATGAGTGACTATTTCTGAACAGATCTATGGCTCATCTTTTGCACATGGTGACTCATTTTCTCACAGGCCAGCAAGGAACAACAGGTGCCCAAACTGTGCATGAAATTTAAGGAAGGAAATTTTAAAGTGAAAAATTGAGACCCATTGATTTTATTTTTCTGTACATTGATAAATTTATATCTAGTGAAAGGACATCTCATACCCATTACAGACTTGGAAGGGGATTAGTTTTGCTTTAGTAAACCTACTTCTTCAAGACTTGAAATTTTGTCCAAGGAGTCCCTAAATGGATGTTGTTCTTCTGTGTGTGGGTGTGTGTGCATGTGGGGTTGTATATAAAAAATTGCCGTCAAGTTTTTTCCAGTGACATAGAGTATTTTAAGGTTGCTATTTCAAGTTGGGCAAAGAAATTCTTAGGCATGTGGTAAGCAGGCATGTTTAAATGATATAAAATTAAAATTTTAAAGAGGACATAGCATCTTTCATTTATATGTACAGCTTCATACATTTCATTAATATTATTTTGATATGCTTTCTATATTATAATTTTGTAGTTTTTATTTTATGTATATATGTATATTATATTTATCTACAATGCAGTTTACATTTTATATTTATATGCTACATATTTGATAGTAAAACAAATGTGGATATGTTTTGGAGTGGATTGCAAGATTCAAATAAATGTTTCAGATAAAACTCTAGATTTTAAAGAAATATAATGTTTGCAATGAGTGTCCTAGGGAGATAGCCATTCACATACTACAATAAAAATATATGATTAAATTAAGTCAAAAAGCAACAGGACAAATATGAATAGGGCATAAATACAATTTTTAAGAAAACATATATACATCAGAAAATGATTATTTTGTGGTATAATTGTATAATTTTAATTTTCTTCTTCATGCCATATTTTTATTGTCCACATTTTCCACAAAGAACATGTATATTACTTATATAATCAGAGAAAAATATGATTCTCTGCCAAATTTTCCATGTAGTTTCGTATTACTGTGTTTAATTACATTTGTACATCCATTTTCTACATGATGTTAGAAGCTCCTGGTAAAACCATAAACAGAGCTTTTCAGGTTTCAACAACTCCTCTTGCTAAGGGAAAGTCGTATTTTTTTATTTTCAAGACTGTTATTATGTTCCTACTTAAAATCTGGCTCTTAAATTTTGTTCCCATTATTACCACCAAAAATTCCTCTAGCTAAAAGAACATCGTATATGCATGACTCTTTCATTATATAGTAAGTGCTTGATGTTAATTCCAAGGAACTTTTCAAGACAGTCTTGGAAATATTTGCTCTAGTGTTTTGAAATAACAAAATGATCCTTCTTAAGCCTTTTGCATGGTGAGACAGGACAGCAGAGTTCAAGGAGATGTGTCTCTTGGCAAGGTTTGAAATGCAAGCTCACCAAAAGTATAAAGAGTAGTTAGTAAATTAAAATCCCCCAAAATCCTGATGCCTGCTTGTCTTGCAGGTGCCAGGTCCCAATTCTCTGCACCCAGGGAACTTGCTAGAAGCTGTGGCAGTGGCCACATTTGACTGAACTGTTATAAGGAAGGTGCAAACAAGAATAGCCCCCTATTTTAGGAAAGATTGTTAAAAGAAACTGGAAAAACAAATTCTTTTTTACTTCCTCTTGGGACTTTCATTAAAAGTGTTTATTCTTGGATGAAGGGGATTATGGGAAAAGGTATTTCAGATGTTGGTTCACGGCTGGATCCTGAGATGCCGGCCCTCAACGCGTGATGAAATACTTGTATAATGTGCACTTTTGTAAGAGCTGTTTAATCTCCCCTAGTTAGAGATTTTGCTAACTAGAAACAGGCTTCCTTATTGGTATTCTTGAGTATTGTTTTGACAGTCTTTGCTTAACATTTTCTCCCTCTAAATTATTTTAGCATGATTGTTCTCAGCAGTGCTTTACAGGATGAGAGAGATGACATGAGTTTCTCTTGTTCAGATAGCATGAATTCAAGCACAAATGGGGGGTGAGTTTCCAGGAGGTGAAGAGCTGGAGACCAAGCATTGTCCTGCTTTGCAGGAGAGGACAGACCACCCCTTTATCTCTGGGCACTGATTCATACAGTACCCCTGCAGCATGCACTCTCCATTGCAATGTGGCTAGATAGAATGCTGGCACACTGGCCTGAAGTTTACAGCAACATCAGCACTGCCACTGTGATCTAGGACGGATCCTTTGACAAAATTAGAATCTCCCAGGAAGGTGATGAGAGGGAGCCAACTACCACTGAATAACATGAGAGGCTTCATGCAGGGTACATAATCTACATCATTTCTTCAATCCTCTCAACTTGACTTTGAGGTTCACACTGCAGGTTGTATTAGTGCATTCTTATACTGATATAAAAATACTACCCAAGACTGAGTAATTTATAAAGGAAAGAAGTTTAATTGACTCACAGTTCCACATGGCTGGGGAGGCCTCAGGAAACTTACAATCATGGCAGAAAACAAAGGGGAAGCAAGGCATATCTCACAAGGCAGCAGGAGAGAGAGATAATGAGAGAGCAAGGAAGTGCCGCACTTTTAAAACCATCGGGTCTCATGAGAACACACTCACTATCACGAGAACAGCAAAGGGGAAATCTGCCTCCATGATCCAATTACGTCCCACCAGGTCCCTCCCTGGACACGTGGGGATTATAATTTGAGATGAGATTTGGGTGGGGACACAGAGCCAAACAATATCACAGGTGAATAAACTGAGGCTCAGAGAGGTTAAGGAAATTACCGAAGTTCATCAGGTTAGTAGGTGGCAGAAATGGAATTCAACCCAGGATGTCTTGCTGTAAAGCTTGAGCTATTTTCCATATAGTATGCCATCTTATTGTTTTTTTTTTTTTAACTTGCCTTTTAAATAGAAATAGAAGGAAACTGAAAAAAAAGTAAACAGAAGAGAAAGTAGCTCATTGGGCAAAATGGTTAGTTGGTTTTGTTTCATGTAAAGATCTACTTCTGATGTGTTCTCTTTGTGCTTTTAGAGATAAGAGTCTTACAATGGTATGAACAAATTGATCGTGCTTGTGCCCAGACTATGAGCCAGTCCAAGAACAAATGCAGTATGATTGTCTCCTTTTCTGTCTGTAATAACGGCAGGATGATCTGCCCAATCCATACCTCATGGAGTACTGAAAAGCTCTGCTGAGACTTAGCATGAAACCAGAGGTTTGTCGATTACCAAGTTCCAGATTATTGCTATCATCACTATTATTTCATAAAGTCTGGCCTTTGTAAAGGTGCAATGAGAAAGGCAGCCAGAATTTCTTCACAACTTGAAAGTGAAGGAAATCATTAAATTGGTTCCTTTAGGCAAGTGGTCCTAATTGACCAGGACTCAAAATATACAGTCGGGATTTTTTCAGTTGATCAAACATCCAAGTAATTAATTTTTATTTATCTTAAAGCCAAAATAACTGAATGAGGTTGAACAGAAAAATTCAGTGATTCTGAGTTACTTGACAAGCCACAGTTCTCCATGAGAATCGGAGAGTCTGTGAGCAGGCTCTTGACTTACCCTTTAGGATGGTACCTTAGTCCCAGCAAATCTGTCCTCTATAGGATCTTGGATAGAATCCACATGAGGGACACATCATATGTTTAACAGGTGTGGGTCCTGGGAGCCAAGGAAGGGTATGGAAGGATCCTGCCTGTCTCTGTGAGACACAGAATAAAGAAAAAGGAAGTTGAACAAGAGACAGAATTCTAAGATGTAGGTGGAGAGAAGGAGCCCTGTTCAAAGAGAAAATTTGGAATCCAGGAGAAATAAAACTAAAATAGGGGTTTTCAAATAACCCAGAGACATTCCATGGAAATTGATTGAGGCAGTGAAGACTGGTGTAGTGGGTTGGATAATGGCCCCTAAAAGTTCATGTTCATCTGGAATCTCAGAATATAACCTTATTTGGAAATAGGTCTTTGCAGATGCAATTAGTTAAGGATGGAGATGAGAGGGTACTGGATTGCAATTGGCCCTAAATTCATGACTGGTGTCTGTAGAGAACACAGAGAAGAAGGCCATGGGAAGATGGGGGCAGAGAATGGAGGGGTGCAGCCACAAGCCAAGGAATGACAGGACTGCTTACAGCACCCAGAAGCTGGAAGGAGCAAAGAACACCTTTTCCTAGAGACTTCAGAGAGAGTATGGCCTGGCCAGCACCTTGATTTGGGACTTTAGGTCTAGAGGACTATAAAAGAATAAATTTCTGTTGTCTTAAGCTACCAGGTTTATGAACATTTAAAGAGAGAGCTTTTCATGGAAGCCAGCAGAGAACATAGGAGCCAGAAGCTCTTTAGACTCGGAGTCTGTTCAGACATCATACTGGCCAGAAAGAAGACTGCAGGAGGATCAGAAGGGTTGAAGGACTTGATTGGAGAAGGACATCCACCAGTAATATGTTCTCCATACTCCCTGAAATGTCCTAGAGGAGTCTCTCAGACATAGGTAGGCTCAAGGAAGATTTAGAACTTGAAGGTGCTTTATGATGGTTTTACCTGTTTTTACATTAAGTACCCCACCAGAAAATGAGAAGATACCTACCATGAGCCATACATAGCTTGACCACGATGTCAGGAAGGGATCATGGTTGAAGACTTTTAGCAACTCTTTATTTTGAAATAAGTTGAAGTTATTAAACCCATTGACACTAAATTTTGGCATTTCCTGACCAGAATACAATGATAAAAATTGCAATTTAACAGTGACACAATCCTTACCTAATATATTGTACATATTTAAATTGTGTGAGTCTTCCAAATAATTTCATCTATAACTAGTTTTCTGCTGGAACAGAGTAGAATCCAGCATCATGTACTGCATTTGGCTCTCCCATCCCCTGGGTCTCCTTAATTCCAAAATGATTCTTCAGCCTTTTCCACGTTTTATTGACCTTTATCGTTTTGAAGAATATGGGCCATTATCTTGTAGTATGCCCTTCAACTTGGGGTTCTCAGCTATTTCTTCATAGATTCAGGTTATGCACTATTGGGAGAAAATCATAGAAATAATGTTGTGTTCTTTTCAGTGCATCATATCAGGAGGTACATGATGTCGGCTTGTCCTAGTATTTTTATGTTAACTTTTACCATTTTATCATTTGATTAAAAGGGTGTTCACTCTGTATCTCCCTGTTAAATTACTATGTTTCTCTATGCTTAGAAATCCAGAAGGAATTTCCTACCATGTGCAGAAATGTGAACTACACACAGCAGATTTGCAGCCTCTACAAGAAGATGGTAGAAGACATGAACAATGAATTGGAGAGAACCACTTCCTTTTACCAAAGGATATTTTCTTCTATGAGGAAGAGCTCAAGAAAGCTGGGCAGCAGTTCTGCTGACTGAGATAAAGCTCCATGAGCTAAGACAAGAAAATGATGGCAACAGGTAAATCATGGCTGATGTGGAGTTCAAGTTCCAGCCTTTCCCAAGCATCCCTTTTGCTCCTGCTGCTCCAGGAGCAGCCCACAGAGGCCTGGAAGTACTAGAGGTCCTCTGGGTCATCAGGTTCCCAGCAAGGAGGAGGCAGGTGCTGTGAGGCTCAGGGATCCAGGGGTGCCTGCAGGTTCCACTCAGAGTTTTGATTTGTTTGTTTTTGTCCTTAAAAGTAATTTTCATTTATCTTCTAGTTAAGCTACTGTTATTTAATTGATGTGCAATTTCTCTTTCTAAAGTTTTATAGCATTATAATTTCTAAAATTGTATTTTTAAATATACATTTATTTCAAATAGCTCTTATGAATACATTATTTCCAAATCATTGGACCCTCTAAAATTATATGCATACATATTGTATTTTGATTTAAATAAAAGGTTCACTATTATTTAAACTATCATAAAAACTGGACATGAATAGAAACATGGAAAACAATAAAGTTCATTTCTCTAAGCCATTATCATAAATCTGTACAAGTAATGTAATATTTAGCTGGATAAATTTTGACTGGTTTTTAAATAACAATGCCAAAAAATACTAGACAACAACAACACACCATTGAAACATCATACTATTTTTATTAGATTAGTTCTAAGTTCATAGATAAATTTAGGGGAGTTGAAATTTTACAACAATTTGTTTCTTGTCTTGTTTTCTGAACCTTCGATGTTTTTCAAAAGATAGTTTGTTCTTTAAATGTTTCTGAATTTTAGCAGCCAAAATAAAAGTCTTCCTTTGATGGCAAACTCACACACACATATTCTCACACAGACACACACATGGGGCTAGCTTGAAGGTGACACCCAGTGGCACGGGAGCATGGCTCTGCATGGAAAGGGATCCCATAACCAGACTCAGCAGAGAAGACCCTGACAGGAAGCAGAGGGTGTGCTGACTGTGAAGAGCTGAGGCAGAGGCTGGTGCAGGGATATGGTGTTTCTGTCTGGAGCCCAGGAAGCAGGAAGGAGCAGCTCCACATCAGTGCACACCGGTGTGCATCCGCGGGGGACCCCTACACAATCTGCATGATCAACCCCAACCTGGGTCCACGTGAGCTGTCTGCTAAAAAGGTATGAGTTGCATACACAGTACTTGTATTAACAAAATCAAAAGTATTTAAAGTATATATAAGAAAAGACAACATGGAAGAAGAGAGAGCAGAGTACAGGAGAGAGGGAAAGGAGGGGGAGAGGAGGGGAGGAGAGAAGAGAGAAGGGGAGAGAGGAGTGGAGGAGGAGAGACGAGGGGAGGGCAGAGGGGAGGGGAGAGGAGAGGGGAGGACAGGAGGGTAGGAGGGGAGAGGCGAGAGGAGGGGAGGAGGGAAAAGGAGAGAGGGGAGAGGGGAGGGGAGGAAGGGAGAGAACGGGAGAGAAGGGGAAGGAGGGGAAAGGAGGGAGAGGAGGGGGGAAGGGGAGGGGGGAGAGGAGGGGAGAAGGGGAGAGGAAGATAGGAGTGGGGGGAGGGGAGGAGGGGAGAAAAGAAGAGGAGGGGAGAAAAGAAGAGGAGGGGAGAGGAGAGGAGGAGGGAACGGGAGGAGGGAAGGGGGAGAGGAGGGGAGAAGAGACAGGAAGGGAGGGGTGGAGGGGATAAGGAGGGGAGGAGGGGAAACAAGAGGAGAAGGGGAGAGGAGGGGAGGAGAAGAAGAGAGAAAGGGAAGAGGGGAGGAGGGGAGAAGAGAGGGGAAAGGAGAAGGGAGGGGAGGAGGTGAGAGAGGAAGAGAAGTGGAGGGAGGGAGAGGCAGGGAGGAGGGGAGCAGAGAGAGGACAGAGGATGGGGGAGGAGGGGAGGAGGGAAGGGCAGGAGGGAAAGGGAGAGGAGAAGGGAGGGGAGGAGGGGAGAGGAGAGGGGAAAGGAGGAGGGGAGAGGAGAGAGGAAGGGAGGTGAGAAGGGAAGGGAGGAGATGAGAAGGGAGAGAAGGGACGAAGAGAGGAGAGAGGAGGAACGAGGAGAGAAGTGGAGAGGAGAAGCCAGGAGAAGGGAGTAGAGGGGAGAGGAAGGGAGAGGAGAAGAGAGAAGAGAGGAGAAGGGAGAGGGGAGAAGCTGAGGGGAGCAGGGAGCAGCTCCTCTCTGCTTCTTCAAATTCTGCCTTCTAAGGAGGGAGGGAGTACCTGTCCTTTGAGATTTTTGGGAAACCCTCTCTGTGTGCTTTTGCATCTTCCTATTTCACTCAGTGAAACACTCTGGATCTTCTTGGGGTCCCTGGTTGTAACTCTGTTTTACTCATTTTCGTGCCAGGTTGGTATTCTAGGCATTATTGTTGTTTCTTCAGCCCATTTGGATCCTTTTAAAAGACCAACCAGTTGCCCTTGCAGAGTTAGGGTCCTGCTGCCCTGCAGGGGATCTGACTTCTCCTGGGAGGGCCACTTCCACTGCCCCTCTATGTCCTGCGAGGGTCTGGAGCCCTGACACCCTTAGGACCCCAGACTGGCCCCAGCTGACAGTTCTCTTGCTTCTCTCTCAGATTGAGTTTCTGAGATTAATTGCTCCTGGCAGAGTCCAGGGCTGCACGAGGAGGCTCTGAGCCTGACTCTGCCGAGGAAGAGGTTGAGTGGAATGCAAGTTGAGAAGGACCTGCCCCTCTGCAGATGCCGACTTCTGAAGATGACTCAGTGGATTGGAGACTATCCCCAGGGCCACCTTGGGAGGCACGTACTGAAGACAGCAGGACCACACAAGGGAAAGAGCCAGGGTCAACCTGACACCCCCAAAGCAGAGTCATGCTCACCCAGGACGCTTGGATGGAACAGGAATAGACCTGCTTTACAGAATATCTGTGAAATTGTAGACCCCATCAGTTCCACTTATTTCTTCCGGGTTCTTACACTGAAAATTCAGGTTTCTCAGCTTGTACCTTTAGGGAGACCTTTCAGTCCTCTCCCCATCTGCTGACATTGACTAAACACAAAGGAGAGAGGGGGCCTCAGAGGAGGGTCCCTGGGACCTTGGTGGGCAGGACCCAGCTTCCCTGTGCAGAAGGAAACTTGAAATCAGGAGACTGAGCCTCACCCAGGGACAGGCCCCACTACTGTGCCCTGACAGGCCCTTGTGGACAGAAAGGTAAAGGGCATGGGCCCACTTGGACCCTGCGGTTTGCTGTGAGTCCAGCTGGGTCTGGTGTGGCCGAGCTCCAGGGTGCCATCAGCCATTTCTGGGTCCCTCATGACCTGGGTGGAGACTATCACCTCTAACTGCACAGTTAGCAGAGCAAAGTCAGGGACACTGTTTCTAGAACCTGGCTGGCTCCCCTCCCCCAGCACAACTGACTGTCTCTCCTGGTTGCCAGGCACTTGTGAGCATTAGAGACAGAACACTCCTCAGGGTTCCAAGTGGTCAGTTGTGGCCCACAGGCCACTGGCAAGCAGAGGCAGAGCCACAGAGGGGCTGCTACTCCCCAGAATGTCTCTCCAGTCACTCTGGAGCTGCTGGGGCTCTAGTGCTAGTGAGGGCTGAGATCATGAGATAAAATTGAAACAAACAAACAAAAAATACAAAAGATAAATGAAACAAACAGCTGTTTTTTTTAAAAGATAAATAAAATTGATAGACCATTAGCAAGATCAACCAAGAAGAGAGAAAACCCAATGAAATGGGAGATATTACAACTGACACCACAGAAATACAAAAGATCATTCAAGGCTACTATGAACACCTTTATGCACACAAACTAGAAAACTTAGAGGAGATGGATAAATTCCTGGAAAGATACAATCTTCCTAGCTTAAATCAGGAATAATTAGATAACTTAAAGAGAACAATAACAAGCAGTGAAATTGAAATGGTAATTTAAAAATTACCAAAAAAAAAAAAAAAAAAAAATTCCAGGACCAGATGGATTCACAGCAGAATTCTACCAGACATTCAAAGAATTGGTACCAATCTTATTGACACTATTCCACAAGATAGAGATAGAGGGAACCCTCCCTAAATTATTCTGTGAAGCCAGTATCACCCTATTACCAAAACCAGGAAAGGACATAACCAAAAAAGAAAACTACAGACCAATATTCCTGATGAACACAGATGCTAAAAATCCTTAGCAAAATACTAGTGAGCCAAATCTAACAACATATCAAAAAAAAAAAAAAAAAATCCACCATGATCAAGTGGGTTTTATATCAGGCATGTAGGGATGGTTTAACATATGCAAGTCAATAAATGTGAACATCACATAAACAGAATCAAAAACAAAAATCACATGATTATCTCAATAGATGCATAAAAAACATTAGACAAAATCCAACATCTTTTAATGATTAACACTCTCAGAAAAACTGGCATACAAGGCACATACCTCAATGTAATAAAAGCCATCTATGACAAACCCACAAGTAACATAATACTGAGTGGGGAAAAGTTGAAAGCATTCCCTCTGAGAACTGGAACAAGACAAGGATGCTCACTCTCACTCCTCTTCAACATAGTACTGGAAATCCTAGACAAAGCAATTAGACAAGAGAAAGAAATAAAGGGCATCCAAATGGGTAAAGAGGAAGTCAAACTGTTGCCGTTTGCTTATGGTATGATTGTTTACCTCGAAAACTCTAAAG